CAGTTTCCATGTAACATGTTTCTAATGAGACCACAATGAGCACAGAGATTTCCACGACAAAGCGGCAAACTTGTTCTCTGGGTCCATGGCTTCGACCCAAGAACGTGATGCCAACAAAGCCAAAAAGCGAGACGAGACGGGATTCCGGCCATCATCTTTGTCGCCGGCGAAGAGTTGAACGTGACACTCGGACGTGATTATGTCAACGGTGCTTAGACTCAGACATTCAGACAGAAGCCCCATGCTAACCCAAAACTCCTTGTCCGATATGTGTTACTCAATAGGCCAACTCGGGCTTTAACTGCGACTCCCGACTTAACTTCACACATTCTGGGGATCGGGATCGGGGATCGGGATCTTCAAAGCGGTTTACCCTGTCCGAGTTAATTCCCGATGCATTTGGTCACAGCACGTCGGCGACATCAATTCCTCTGGTGGAAACTGAAGAACTGTGAGTGGTTTTCTGGGTCAGCTGATTAATTGCACTTCTGGGGTCGTCTTTCACAACCTGGAAAACCCATCTCCACTGCACCTTCATCTCGTTTTCCCGGACTTTGTAAATTTGTTTGTCTTTTCTTTTCCGTTTGTCATTTATCAACTCTCGCAGCTCCATTGGGTAATTAGAGTCGCTGCCTGATTTTCGTCTAATTCTATTTCGTTGAACTCTATTTTTAGGCCGATTTGGAAGTGTTCCAAATGTCGTGACTACTTCACAGAAAAATGTTTGCATTTGCAAAAAAGAAAAAGGAACGAACGAAATAGAAAACGTACCAAAAAGAACAATTTATTTTTTGTTCGTGCGTTCCCAATTTATGTGACATCTTGGAAATGTTCTCTATAGGCATTTTCTGGGTGGAATTTGGGTTGCTGTCAGCTTCCTGCTTATAAAAATTAGCAATTAATTTGATTCCTTCTAGGAAGTGATGTGATTTATGACGATTTGATAGTGTTTTAAAAGGTGTTTTAAGGCAGCTGTAAATGTTTAATGCCTACAGATGTAAACTTTTGGTATCAAACATATTCACTTGATTAATTTTTGCATTTAAAATAAATCATTAAATTTAAGATACCGAAAATTCAGCATAATTCTCGGGCATTTGAGCTACTCACGTTTTGGGTGCGACTTTCAAGACTTTTAATCGCCAGTGTTGCAGACATTTATTAATGTCTTTTGTTAATTTTAAACAATACTGTAAAGTTCTATTCATAATCAACCTCTGGCGAATCAGACAATATCTGAAGGCGTTGCCTGGGACCGAAGACCAATAAAATGTAAACCTAAAATTGTAAAATTCTAAAAACGCGGTCGAGGTCACGCACTGACATTTCCGATAATGAATGTACGATCTGGTGGGCCATTGTTGCCTTTGTTGTTGTTTTTTATGGCCAAAGCCGATTGCTCAATTCTTTGGTCATTCTCAACCACGCCGAATTACAACAATTCCGAGAGACTCTGAGTCAACGAACCTCGGCCGCAGACATCCAAGATATAGAGATATAGATACGCGACGTGCCCAGCACACAGTTTCTATTGAGTTGCGGCTGGTAAAAATAGCCGACGCATTAGAGGAACTTATTTTGACCGATTCCGAGGGGCGATGAACATTTCGCATGAATAAACAGCGCAAAGAAAACTGGGGAAAAGAAGCAGGAAAAATTAAATTTGGTAGGCAGACTTTCGGAACACAGTGTGAATTCCTAAAGCCCCCAAAAATGTGTTGCAATTCTTATGACTAAGTGAAAAAAAATGGGAAGAGAATGGAAGTGAAGAACAACAATTAGCCAGCAGAAAATTAAAAGTCAAGAGAACTAATTTTTCAATGCGGAAAAGATTTATGATTAATGCTTAATCGAATTTTTTATATCATTTTTTTCGTCTTACATATTATTAATGGAATAAGAAAATAGAAGACTGAAAATATTTTAAACCAAATATTTATCAGTTTAGGAAAATGTAATATAATATTTCAGTTTAGATTCAAATAAATCCATTCATTCGATGCCAACAAGTATTGAATCAATAACCTCTTGGGATCGCCTTCAGTTCTGGGAACGCTTGTAAGGCTCCTCAATCATTTCTAAAATTTCTGCCACTTCATGCTCTGAAATTGAGGCTTGTTTTAAACACTTTCACACCACTGTAGGCTCACACATTCACTTTTCTTGCCATTCACTCGTGCTGGTTTTTTTCTGCATCAGATTTCAATCTTGAGAACTTCGCACTGACTTCAATTTGTTTTCCCTGATTTCTTTTATTATTTCCTACGCTTGCCAATAATCTTGAGACCTCTCGAGAGTCTGGTGCACAGAAAACAATAAAAAAGTATGGCTGCTCCTCAAGTTCAGGCAGCGCAGATTAGTCACGAATTTTGCATAAAGTTCTGCATTCTAAATTCTCATATTTCCAGCGCTCCCCAAGTGGGTGGGTGGCGGCAAATGCATTAAGGCATTGCCCAGACCTTAGAGTCGTGCCAAGATTGGGAGTGGTTCACTTCGGTTTCGGTTCGGATCGGTTTGGTTTGGTTTGGTTTGGGCTTTGGAGCCAAGACCGAGACTAAGACTGAGACCGAAAACAAAGAGAAAGGCGTTCCTCCAAAAAAGACACACAATGTTGTGGCTTTTGGCTGACTAGGGTTGGGTTTGAGCTCCGACTTCGTCTCGGGTTCTCCGGTCTCTGGTCTTTCATTCTGGTAATGAGCCTCAAGTATCGCAAATGGGCAACCCACACCTGCCTCTCCGGATCCTCCTCGGTCTTCTGTTTCTACTCCCACTCCTCCTGCGTTGAGGTCTCACTCGCAGCGTCTTCGCCCCATCTATTTGCAAAGTTTGTTCTGTGCCAGAGGGCCTCTTCTTCGATGACTCGACTTGGTTAAGTTGGGTTCATTTATCTATTTGCCTAACCAAGCAGGCCAAGCCCCTAAAAAAAAAGAGCTGCAGAATTTGTTTTGTTTCTGAGTCGTATAATTAGATTTAATGATAAAAATCATAATGCAAAACAATTTGATGCAGAAAATTGCTTGTCTTGGTTAAATAGCTAATGAGCTAAAAAAAAAAATGTCATAAAATGTATGGAAATAAGTGGACAATTTTGAAAAAGGAAAACTGTTGGATTCTTAAACAATTGTATTTTTCGCCTTTTTCTGGTTCCTCGAAAGTACTACACTTTCTAGATTTGTAAATTATATGAATATGAAGCTTCGACTTTGAGGTTGGCAAATAAAAAAAGCTAAGTTTGATAAAGTCAAAAAAAAAACTCCTTGACAAGTTGCAGGCTTCAAAGTCAGTCTTCGAAATTCCCCCCATATAATTAAATTTACTGCACAGAAATATTCGATGGCAGTAAAAGTAACCGACCGCAAAAAGGAGAAAAATACCAAGCAGCCTGTCAAAACTTTCCCGCTTTTCCCCGCTTTTCTCCCGAAGGGAGGGGGAAGATTTGGTAAGGCTTCCCCATAAATCTTTCTCGCAGCGTCGCTTTCTCGGATCATTCTTCAAACGGCAAATGGCAGAGTGGAGTCGGTCGCAGAGGTGACTTTGCCAGAGGTTTTTTGGCAGCTGCCTTTGAGTGTCAATTTGGCCATAACCCAAGGTAAATCAAGAGCATGGGCAGGTGGCGGGGGAGGGAGGCTAGCTGTCCAAGAAAATCATTTTCATAAATTTGCAATTTTCCAAAGTGAGACCCAATCTCTGTGACATTTCAATTTGCCAGTGTCGAAAGGGAGGCCAGCAAATGGAAGTTCAATGAAGACCTCAAACAGGTGAAAATTAAAATTTATGTTTGCATTGGGTTTCGTTTCAATGCATTTCGTCCCGTCTCGTTTCGTTTCGATCGAGGAGCTCTAGGCTTCGAGTTGAGTAAGGATGTGTCCGGGGCCATAAATAAATGTCCATGGCTCGAACACTTTGGGGTGAAGAGGTTGTCTCTAAAAGTCTCTCCCCCTTCAAGCGTCCCCTTCCCCGTGTTCCCCGTATTTATCGATTTCTAATTTCAACTTTTGCGCACCTTTTGTTGATTTTTCATATTTTGTCGGTGATGCAAGAGTTCGCCGGGGTTAAACTGTTTGTATGGAGATCAATGTCCAGATTGTGGAAGCCCGCTTGGGAGTTTCCCTGCCTCGCATTTTCCTCGGCTCTCATGTGTGGGTGTCACTGGGTGTCACGCCCACCTTTCCCCCTTTCTGACCCCTTGGCGTCAATTGTCTTGTAATTATTTTTTTGATGTTTGATAAATTGAATATCGCTCTGTGCGCAAAATCTTTCTTCTTTCCCTCTTCTGTGTGATTAATCACGGAACAATGGCAGAGCTTATGCAACGCGTGGGACTTTTCCAGCGTGACCTTTGTTTGGATGTGGATAAAGATTCGGATGGGGTTGAATGGGGATAGAGCCAAGGCCCGGCAGCTGTTAAAATGACAAATGAGCGATGCCATATCGCTGCAGATGGGCGGTAAATGCTGTTGCAGGAATTGCAAAAATTTACCAAGGGGGGGAGGATATCGCGGAGATAATGTGGCATTAAAGTTAACGTTTAGCGGGAAGAAAAGTTATAAGAAGAAATTTTAGATAAGTTGGTATAGAAATATGGAATTAAATTAAAGACAGTTAAAGTGGCGGATTAAATTAGTTTAAAGGTTAAAGTTTTCTATTAATAACTTGTTAAATTAAGTGCAAATAATTGAATTTAATTAAGTAGTTTAAGTAAGTAAGCAAAAAATATGAAAGTTTGTTTAGCAATGCAAGCAAGCTATAAAACCATCAACATATCTTATGAAATAAACTTCAATGTGGCTTGTGGTCGCTCTGAAACAATATCCTTTTGAGCCAAGCCTTTCTCTTGCCACAACTCCACCCTTTCACCCCAATCCCTTTCCCTCCTGTTTGCCTAATCAATTAGCCGCCTGAGCATATCAAGTATACGTCATGTTAGCCACATAAGTTCAACCCAACGAACACCTTTTTAATTCCCCTTTTTTATGTGTGCGCTCTCTTTTTGATTCCAGGTGTTGTACCATGAAATTGTATCACACGCTCGAGTGGTGAGCTCTTGCATTCGAGCCGCCGAAAAGGAGCAGCAACTCCAGCAGCAGCAGCAACAATTGCAACTGCAGCAGCAACAGCAGCAACTGTCGAGTCAGCAACCCGCCTCATTGACCAGCAACTGCTCCAGTGAGTCAACCAGCGACTCCGCCACAAAGTCGAGCAGCCTGAGCAGTGGTTTCGCCTCCGATCCGGTGACCACACCCACCACTGCCATCGGAACCACGGCAGCTGCCCCACCACCAAGTGGCAACCACCCGTCGAAGAAGGGCGAAGGGAACTTGGAGCGACTGAGGGATCGCTATCACTTGTTGTATCTAAAAGCCTTCGAACTGCAACTGTGCCTGGATAATCTGCTAAGGAAACGCAGCTCTACGGCGGTAAGTTTTGAAAAAGTATTCTACAAAAATATATTTATCAATTTATTGCCCATCTGTGTGATCTTGAAACTACCTTGAACTACTTGATCTAGTGGTCTATTTCACTATTTTAGAGCATTGAATATTCTTTAAGGCTATTACTTTTAAATCTTATGCTAAAATACGTTGTATTAGAAGCCATGTAACATATAGCACACTAATTTATGGCTCATCTACATGAACTTGAATCGATTAGGGATTTCCAAAAATAACCTCTGCAAAGCGTTGCCCTTGGCGTGTCTTCGACTTTTGTCACTTTGGATTACCTACTTGGTAATAAAAAAGAAAACTCCCAGTCAGCAAGGGAAATTTATTCGAGATGCCAGGGATTCTTGGAAAGAAAGAAAATGCATTTGGCGCCGCTTTCCCCGCACGTCCGCCGTTCGTCGCCTCGCATTGCCAATTGTGGAAATTTCTAATTACGTTTTTGTATAACTCGGTTGCAAGTGATTTAATTAATTCATTTAGTGAAAATGCCGGCAATGCGACAAAAAATGTATTGGGAAAGCGGTAAAGTGCAGAGCATTGCAATTGAATAGTGAGACGAACTTGGGAGAAAGATGAAAGAGTTTCGCCTGGGTGGTAGTGTAGATCGAGGTGTGTCTCGTTGGCTCCTCTTCGATGGCAGATGACGGAACTGAAAGTGAAGAATTTTTTAGAAATATAATTTTTATGATGTGTAACATTGTCAGTAGATGAGCATTAGAAGAATTGAATTCAATGTGAGCTCCATATAATATTTACATGTTGGTGAGATACATTTATAAAATAATGTGATATAATTTTAAAGAAAAATCTATCGGTCTATAAGGGCATGTTCCTATGGAAAAGACTAAATATTTTAGTAATATTTTGGCATATTTTCGAATTTATATTATAGAGATAGAATATAATTTATATAATGAGATTGCAAGGTTGAAAGGTTGCGTTATTAAAAATCTTGTTTTTAGACATATTTCCCGGAATGAATTACATATTTTTTACCTGACATGATTAGTTTCACTATCCCCAGCTGATCTGCACTTCCTTTCTCCGTCTACTAATGCCATGCCCCTGCTAATTCACCGATCATTCTGTTCCTCTTGTGGCATCCGTTTCGTGTTTAGATCCAGTGAAAGTCAATTTCGCCTTATAGACACGCTGACCCAGTTTCCTGGCAACGGGTGTGGATAGATGGATGGATCCTCCTCGGAGCTCTAAACGTTTCCTGGTTAAAGTTCTCTGCTCCTCTGATGCTCTTCGCCTCTTTGTCTGGTAATTGGAAAGCGTTTTTCATGCACCCCTCTTAATTGTGGGTAATTTGCGGAGTAGGAAGCGCAAAATGCTCTGGCCTCCTGTCTGGGCTTAGTGGGTAAATAATTCATTCAAGACACGCACTGGAAGAGGCGTCTGCTGACCCACACACCAAGACTTCTTGGCTTCCATCCCGCACCTACTATTAGAGACCTCCGGCTGTGGGGCAGCTAACCTTTTTTGTGGACCGCTTCATTTGGTTGCGCCGCGGGCTGGCTTTTATCCACCCCTTCCGTGCTCCTCCTCTTGCGTTTTTCTCGTTGCGGCTGAAACAATTTCATTTTCCACTGCCTAGCTGATGCAATAATTTGCATCCCCCCGGGATCCGTCCATGACCAATCTCTATGTGGGCCGATCCAGTTGGCAATTTTCAACACTTTCCTGATCACATTTTGCCCGGGTCGCCAGCGGGGGAATTCGCTGCTCCACATTTGCCATGCATTCAATTTCTGGCCAAAGGAGATTAGCCGGGCCATTCAAGCCAGGCCAAGACTTCAAACGAAGGCGGCTGCAGTGAAGCCAAAATAGCGAATCAAACGCAGGACAGACGGAAATGTCACAAGTGTTTGCACTCAGAGAAAATGGGATGCAAGTATGGAAAGGCTTTTGAAATGGTTGAATATCTGCTGCAAATCGCTGGCTGCTCCAAACTTGTGAACTCTTCAAATACAGGATCCCAAACCAGGATCTTCAATTATAGTTATTTCTCCCTGTGCCGTAATAAACTCACGGCTCGCTTTAGTCAACTTTGTAGCAACTTCCCCACTTCTTCATCAGCGGAGTTAAACTTTAAGTAGCTGCCATAAAGAAACGTATTTATATCTAAAGCAATATAAAAATCAAAAAATGCGAAAAGTAAAAGTGAAATTTATGCGCCCTCAACTTCAGAGTTCACACAAGTCAACGGCAAGACGGTAAACTCCGAAATCAGCTCGAAAATCAGCACCGAAACCAAATGAAAGTGACCGAAATGAGCTGAGCAGGGCAAATGGAAATAAACCAAATCAAATTTACGACGTGCCTGAACTTTGGAAAATAAAAAACATAACCAGAAGGAAAGGATGGCTGGTTGACCGATTTTATAAATACCCTAGAGGATTGTATTTGTTGTAGCAAATCGGTTTACTTTTGCATAAATACTATAAGAATAAAAAGATTAAATTTAATTTGAAACAATTGTCAAACATAACCTGACAATAGAATCTGGCATGCTTTAAGTAAAGTGATTTTACTCCCTAGAAAAGTGTTCTTCAAAACTCATACCATTTTTGCTTACTTAAATTGATGTATTTTCCGACTTATTTTCCTTTGTTGCATCTTTTTCCACTATTTCTCTTTGTTTCCCACACTTATACTACGGCAACATGTTGCAAGTGGCGGCCGCAGCAAGTTCGATAAACAAATGCAGTTGAATTGCATTGAATTATGCCCCATTATTGTTGTTATTATTGTTATTATATCTCGCCCGAACCTCCTCTTTTTCCCTGGGATTATGTTGTTTATTCTACGGAAATTGTGTTTGTTTAGCAGACTGAGACCACGAGACCTTTGGCTGCTTCTTCAACGGGTTGAAGGTTGAACTGGAGGCTGGGAAACATCTGTCGGTTGAAAGGGAAACGATATTATTTGAGACCGAGTGGGAGAATACGAGAAAATCTAGTTATCTTCTTGGGACCTTGAAGCTGTCATCATTCTTCTAATGTTGCTAATTGGCCACCATTTCCATGTACCAATTAACGTCCATCAATGGTGTATGATCAAAATATTTATGAATTTAATTGGCCCCATCATCGGTGCAGCAACAAAGTCCGTTTGCTAACCAGCAGACATCAATCAAATACCGACATAAATCAATCCTCAAACTTGCTACCAGTCTGCAAGTCCACACCCAAAAAAAACAACAAATATAACTAAAAACGAAATATGCAAATTTGTTTCTTTCCCCTTCTTTTGAGGCTCCACAAAACGAGGCTTTAAAATGAGCGAATGCAAATCGCATAATAACTGACAATTGGAGGCGGAGGGGAGTGGCTACCCATTTGGCTGGCAGTCACGTCGGAATCGAATCGGAACTGCAATTTATGTATGTTGATTGCTTACACATGTTGCAAGTCGCTAGTTGCAGGTTGAATGCTGCATGTTGCTTTTGTGTCCCGGAAAGCAGCACAAATTAAATCCCAATAATTATGTAAAATCTCGGTGGAAACAAGGCGTGTGGGCACACCCACAATTTAAGATAAAATACGGAAGATAAACAGAGGATTTTTTTGTTAAGCATAAAGAGTTATGTTTCCATTTCAGCCTCACTTTCCTCGGTAAAAGTAATTAGCCAGCTCACACAAAAACTTGACCACATGTAATCGAAAACTGTGCTAACGCAAGTTGAAAGTCAAGAAATTGGGTGGCTCTGAAATGGTTTTATAATACACACTCTTGCCTAAGCAAAAACCGTTAGTTGCTCTAGTTTCTGGCTTAGATAATGACAGATTGCTGGATTAATATTCCTTGTGGCTTCTATTTTTCAATTACCCCTAATGACCGAAACCACGTAAATGGTTCATTATTTTAGATAGAGGAGTATCGTATTATCACGGATAAGATTGGGGATTTGTGATCTGATTCGATGTGTGATCGCACACATTGGCTTTCTGTGCCATTGATTTATGCGCGCCACAAGAAAGCCATAAAGAAAATCCAGAATAACAACAATAAACGATCAACAAAAGCAAATTGCCGGCAGCTGTTGGGTAAACGGGCCACATTCCCATATCCATCGATCGCTGGGAAAGTCGAGGAAATCGGGAATCAATAGTGAGTTGCCCAATGCGAAATGCAAACAAACGAGAGCAGTCATCGCCGCGCAGCGGCAACATGTTGCTGCGGTGTCGTGTGGTGCAACTGCGACATCTTCAAATGCGATTTATTGTGCTGCCAGCAACCTTACTTGAATTGACATTTGCCAAATGTCAACTCGCGACTTTTGTTTGCCTGCCTTTGTTTTCGCTTTTGCATCGAATCAAATTCGCCTCCAATTGTCAATATTTCATTTCCATTCTACCAGCAACACCTTAAAATGTTTCCCTACACCGAAATTAAAAAGAAGTGAGGCTCAAAAACTTCGTTTGCCCTCGTTTCAGTTACATATAAAATCATTTACAATTTGTTTTTATATTTGTTTTTTTTTTTGCGTGTAACCCCTCCCGCAGCTCACCCAAAAAAGTCCCGCCAGCAACCTGCAAATTATGAGCAATTGCGTGGCTCAGGAATCGGGCATTAGCATCTCCCTGCGTGGGCTTTATGGCGTGGGCAACACCCACGCCAGATCGGTCTATATAATGCCCCAAGTGCTGCGGCAACATGTTGCACTGTCCGCAGATTAGGGTCAGACAGCGAGAACGAGAATTGGCAGGGATCTTAAGTGAAAATATGCAAACTATGGCCGACGGCCTGTCGAAGTTGCACGTTGCGGCACGCCAGCAACAGTTGCTGCTCTCTGCGGTGATGTTGCTGCTGCTACTTCGACCAATGCAGCGACTTCAATGCTTGCATTTTCCTCTGCTTTGCTAAATTTAGCATCTAATGCGATTTGTAATAGTTGAGCTAAATTGTGGACGTCCAAGTTGCTGCTGTACCAGGAAATGTTTGCCGTACGCCAGCAACAGCAGCAACACCAGCAACAACAATGAAAGTAATAATATTGTTGCTGCTGTGGGTTGTTTGAGGGGGTGGTGCATGGCGAGGGGGTGGTTGGTGGTGCATGTTGCCCGTTTTCCATATGACTTGGAAGTCTCCATGTTGCTCATGTTGCTGGCTTGCCAATTGTTGTTGTCTGTGCGGGTTGTCAACGCGGCGGAGTTGTTGCTGATTGTTGTTGCAGCCGATGTTTTTGTTTTTGTTTTCGTTATTGTTGGTGTTTTTGTGTCTGCAATTTTGTCGCGCCATTGGAGAGTTTTTCGATGCGATGTTGCTGTTGTCGCAGTTGTTGCCGTTGTCACCGCTGGATTAAAATTCATTGAATGTTTTGTAGCGAATTGAGTAATTGTTGCGAAATTTCGCTCGGCTAACAGAAAATCAGGAGAACGAGGGGGAGTCGTATATAAAAACAATAAATGCGAATTATGGATACTAAAGAAAGTAATGACTGGCAAAGGGTAGATTATCGGAGGCGCGGAAACAGATATTCCATATCTAACCTTGTAATAACTTATTAACTAGAATAAATATTCAATTTATTTAAAGGGATTTTACTAACCTTGCAATTTGAATTGAAGGACACATTACCAAAATAATAAATTAATTTTTTGTGCCATTTATCAGTTAAATCGTAACGATTAATTTGGCTTAGTAAAAAAGTCAGTTAGTATTTAATTATTGGTACCAAAGAAAGCACTAAGAGTTTCTTAAAAAACATAAAATAATGTTTCCCAAGCTGTTTGCTTTATTGATATGAATGTTTGAAAAATTGCTTAATAGGCTCCCATAACCTATAATAAACGAAACCATTCACGTAATCATCCCTCCATAAAATTGATGGCTAAAAAACTCGAATACACTTTTATTCCCTTTTTCCTCATCAAACCCATCGATCAATTCCCAAACCACCTCAAAAACTCACCTCTTCGGATTTAATATCCCTGACGAAAAGTCAGGCATAAATAGAAAATAAATAGACGTCTGACGAATGCAACTCACGTTTTTATTGCACGATAATTATAGTCATACAAGCACATGCTAATGAAGACCGTACCCCCTCCGTCTCCTCCAATAACCAGATATCGACGAAGTGGCAGCGTTTAGCGATAATTAATCGCTGGCGTGTGAGAAATTCATAATTCCAAATGAAATGCATGGAAAGACAGTAGCAATTGTTGGAGAATTTCCCACACTTTAGTCAAGACATATCGATGGTTATCGCTCTAGTTTATCGTCGCTGAAGTGACTACAAAAATTGTGACATGGCCAGAAATTGCGTGTTGAGATCCGAATCGGAATGGGAATCTAAGGGGCTAAATCGAAGTTCCTGGAGAAAAATACCTGGGTGTAAATGAGGTGCTAAGCGACTGGCACGACACGTTCTCCCCATCTTTCTTTCGTTTTTCTTTCAAAATAAGAGTTCTACTGAAGTGCGTCATGATAAACTTGAACTTAATTTCCAGCTAAATGGAGGAGAACTCCATGAGCCGAATGGAAGTGGAAGGCGTGCCCAAATCTTGATGGTTGTCTAGGGCCTGTAATCTTCATGCCTTACTTCCCCCGACTTTTGCATAATAATAACATAAATATGTGTATACCATCAATCTCTGTGGGTAGTCTGCGGTTCTCTAACCAGATTTGTCAGGGCTTTCTGGGCTTAAACTAATCAGTTTTTCTGAGTTCTCAACTTGTACCGTTTTGTCAACGGAGTTTTTCCGCCTAATTTGTTTTTCATTGGATTTAAAGGTTGGATAGATACAAATGTTAAGATGAAAGCGTGGATAAATGGAGAGTCAGGAAACGAAAGGGTTAGAGACTGGTTAAGTGGTTAAAGATTGCGTCACAAAATGCGGGTGTTATGCTAATTTGGAGAAAGCTTTGAAACCAGATCAGATGCTGAAGAAAAGGTGAAAATTATCAGAGATCAGATCAAAGAGGAAAATAAATATTTGGTTGATGGATCAGTAAAAACTCGTTCCCTTTGATGAAGATGAAACTGATATGGGCAGATAGAAATTAATTCCTAGGCAATAAACAAATTCTTTGATCATCGATAGATAACAATTTGTTTTAAGACTAACGATAAAGGCCAATCTTGTCTTGCTTTTGGGAACCAAATTTAAAATCTACTTAGATTCGCTTTGCACTATTTTGCTGGTCTTCCATTTGTTTACCCACTACCATTTTTGATGGGTTGTCTGGCTCCTTTTGCTTCCCTGTTTATTTACAACACTTAAAATGGCCTGGTCCATTTACACATTTCACCTCTTTGTTGTTCGAAAGTTCAGTTGTACTGCCCCTGTTTACCATAAACAAAAACAATCAAAAGGCGCCATATAAAAGGTGTATAAGCAATTCTCGGCCATAAATCATCTGGACAATTAGCCACATAATCTGCTGGATCTCGTCCGTGGAGAACAAGCTTCTTCGGATGTTTAGAGCGACCTTCGGGCGGCCTTCATTGGATTTTTCAGAAACATTTACCCGAACAACAAATTACGCAAATCCGAAAAGGCGAAAACACTGAATTGCCCAGCTAAAACATCTGATGGCCATAAAAGCCATTCCACAGCTGATTGCTGATCGTCAGGGGTGAGGTCTTTTAAGTTAATTGTGGAATTTCGTTAGTTTTATTTTATAGAGTGTTAAGACGAAATTTTCTGTATGTAATGCGGACCGTGAGAAGGGGAGGGGGAGCACTGGCGGATAGACCAAGGTCATTTGAGGTTGTGCCAAGGGGCGTCTCTACTCAAACAGTTCTGGTAAAAAACGAAACATTTTTGAAATGCCATCAAGGCCTCTTCAGACGCCTGCCCACCAACGCCTTTCACGTGTGTGGGTGGGTACATGAAAAAGAAAAGGAAAACGTAGGAAAAAACTTTGGAAAAGTCGAAAATATGATTACTCTTATGATTTAAACTTTCCCATTAGTTTTCTTTCTATTGCAGAGTAATAGAGAGGTTAATATCAATGATAAAGTTCACAAAAATCAATAAAAATTCGAAAACTATTTGCTAATGTTTTAAATTATTCCTGCAATGCAAATTGTATAGCTTCCTTTGATTATAAATGTTGGAAGAGATACCAAATATCTGTATTTAGGAAAGACCCCAGCCAAATCTTAGCGCTCGGTGAGGGTATGCACCAACTACTTCTCGCCTCTTGGCTTATCTGACATCTGTCTGGCCAAGTGTTTGCCAGTTTGTCTCCCTGTCTCTGCTTTTGTGTCCATTTGTCTGTGGCACACAGACTGTCTGTTGGCCGTGTCCACCCGCTGATCCGAAGCGAGAGCTTCGTGTGTCGACAATTGAAAGCAATTATAATTTTAGCCAGCATATGAAAGAGGAAGAGTGTTACGTGATGGAAACAGGAAGAGCAAATGGATAGGAGGCTGGACTTTCCCAGGTAGCAGCTGAAGGAAGATCAAGATCACACGAGTTGTCCAATTAAAAATTGTGCCTCATATTCACAACTCTATTGAACTAAAAAGCAAAAAGGAAACTGAAATGCAGGGTTGATCTAATATTTATTTATATTTTTTCTTGCAGAACGGCTTGGATGACGACGAGGACGAAGAGGAGGACACCGAAGACGACTCCTTTGGCTACGAGGGCGAAGCCACCGAGGACGATCTGAACGAGGTCAACTCGGATCTGGATCTGGAGAACAGCGAGTCCAAGTCGGCCACCCCCGCGGAACTGATCCTCCAGCGCTGCCAGATCGCAGCCACCCAGATTGTCTGTGGCCTGGATGAGTCCCATTCGCAGTCCCAGTCCCAGCAAATCCCATCCAAAGCGGAGTCTCTGTCAGCGGATCAGCCACGCGATTGTCTTGCACCTCAAAAGGTAAGTCATCCCATGGTGGATCGGATCCCCTTGCGTTTGAATGATTTGCATATTCTGTATGTAGTTGATGTTTGACTTGTCGTTTTGTTGTTAGTTTAGTTGCATGCCCCCGCCTCCCACAGTATTGTCAACTTTCCGAGCCTGACCTATCCTAACCCCCAGCTCGAGCTAACCAAAGAACCCAAATGAACCTAACCCGAAAAAGAAACGTTATCCCAGAACACCGAACCATAAAAGGAGAAACAGAATACTTAGCAAATGATCTGGCCAACTCGGGAATATTTGATATTTTTTGGGCATCATCAAAAACCAGTAGAGAAACAAATTTTGACGTTTGGTTTGTGTGGACAAAACGATACCCTGCAGTGTAAGTAATGAAGATTACTAATAGGAAAGACTTGTTAGCAAAACTTACTTTTGTCAAAAACGACATACGAAATTATAATGGTTAAAGTGAGAAACCACACGAAAATATGCAATGTTTTCTCAATTTGTATAGGAAGTTTTGTAAATGTCCATGTCATTTTAGATATAAATCTTATTTTAATTGACACGGACTTCTTAGAGATTATTTGGCACTTTAGGTGGTCCTGCCTTTCGAAATTGTATATTTAAAAGTAGTAGAAAGTATTACTTATTACCTAAAAATGATAGGAACTATCCCTTTGCACATCCCAAAGGAAGGTATACCTACAAACCCAAATCCAATTTGTTTTGGCCATTCCAAGCACTCCCTTCCCAAGATATATCCCAACCAAACCTTAGTTGGCACTACTTAAAGGGCAGAGCATGTGTTTTTGCTGTGTGCGTGTGATTCCCATGACAACCTCACCCACATCCCGTTGTGTCAACCCACTTAACACTTATCCAATCCTCCCAACACTTGACTTGCATTCAGCCCGGCGATGAGGCCGATGAGGAGCTAGAAGAGGAGGACGAGGATCCCGGTCTGGGCACCGATGTGGTGGACTTCCTGATTGCCAAGCGATCGTGGAGACAGGCGAACCACCCGAATCCCAGTGGGGCAGCCACCCTAACCGACTTCGAGGCGGACTCGGAGAGCAGTGACTTCGAGCAGGTGCAGCAGCTGAGCAGGAGGGGATTGCCAGTGGCAGTGGGGGGCACCCGAAGGGTCCTGAACCTCATAGACATGCCCCAGGGCAGCAATAGCAATATCAACGGCAGCAATTCGTTGCTGCAGCAGCGTCATCACAATATTGGCAGCAAAATGCTGCCCAGTAAGGCGCATAACAAGAACATAGCCGTGGCGGTAATCACACCCAATTCGCATGGGAATACCAGTCACGGTCACGGGCTAAGTCACGGCCTCGGTCACGAGCTGAACAAGTCGCCGCTGGGACTGCGAAAGACGCGTCATCACCACAATGACACCTCCAAGTTCAACCGCTCCAATCGCAAGTCGAAGAACTGCGCGATCTTCTACTTCAAGCACCTGGACACGGACAACGAGCAGGGGAACGCGGCGGGCAGTGATCTGCAGAGCGAGGATGATCCCTGCCTGATCCACCGGCGAGGAGTTGGAGTTGGAGCTGGAGGCGACGTAAGTACCGTTCTCGGGTGGCGGATCTCTGCGATCTCTGTGTGCTTTTCCCTCGGTTACGGGTCAGACATATCAGCGGATCAGCGGATCATCGGTGGCATTCGTTCCACTCGCCGAGGTGTTGGGGTCACGTTCATCAATGGAAGAGGGTCCGCGGTTATTATTCTTGTAGTAGTGCCTCTTCTATCCAACTAATTTGCATGCATCAATAGCTCGCTATTTGTGATGTCTGTTACCTAACGTATGTCTAAAAGTATTCATAGTATTTGGCATGCCTAACCATTTCTTAATTAACTTTTGTATTCCATTATTCGGTAGTCTTCATTATCAACTAATCCAACAGCATCAGCTACTTCATCATTAATCATCTTAGACAAAAGAAGTGTCTAAGAAATACTTCAAAGGTGAAAAATGTCTAAAAATACAAAAGTAAAAGCTTTTTTGAGGGCAAAGTCTGGAAACAATGCTTTCAAATCTAATTTGCTTATTTAAAAGGGAAAAAGCCTAGCTAAAACTAATAATTATTTAAATTTAAACAAGTTTGTTTTGTACCTAATCAAGTGAAATCAATGATCTTACTTTTTTCATTTTATTTAAGGAAATTTATTTTGTATTGTATCGATGAATCCTTTATATTCAAACGATCCCTTCAAGATCTTATATATTCTGCTTCTTAACTTGACAACATTCTGACTTAATTTGTTTGTTTGTCTGTCTGAGACTTCTCCACAACTTCTTTACTCCGCCTCCTTCAATTCTTCGGCACTTCTCCGCCAATTCTTCAGTCTTCCTCCCACATTTGACAACTGCTGAGGTCGTCACCATTCGAAATGGAAATAAATTGCCAGCACAAAGACAAAGCAGAGGAGTCAGTGGAGTTGGAAAAGTCAGAGAAGTCAGAGACAAGGCGTTGTTGTCGGCAGCCAAACGAAGCTTCAAAGATGTTGCTCATGTGCTGCATCGCAACATCGCGTTGCAAGTTGCCAGTGCACCGGCACAACAATTTGCCATTTTGCGCAAGTAACGCTAATTAAACTTCATTTTCTACCACTTCATCTTCATCGTCTCCATCGGTTTCTTCTCCAGTTGCCTTTTCCTTTGGCGAATTTTGTTACCACTGATTTTAATGTTCCATTGCGTTTTCCCTTCCCATCCGCCACTTTCCTGCCACATAGATACTGAAATCGGCTGATGCCTCAACGGATGACGACGACGAAGGTTGGCTCTACACGGCGACAGCAGCAGCAACATTGGAAGTTGCCACATCAGCAACTGCAACATCAAGTGCCGCGGCAGCAACATCGATTGTGGATGGTCTGCAGTCCACGGCCATTTCCTCGACCACGGCATCGGGTGGACAACTCCCGCCCAGCGACGACTCCGATAAGGAGAACAAGGAGGCTCTGGTCAGCACCACGACAATCACTACAGCAGCAGCAGCAACTGCCTCGTCAACCATTGCAGCGGCAACAGCAACAGCAACATCGCACAGCAGCAACTACGACAGCAGCAGCGCCTGCTCCTCCTCCAATTCGAACTCCAACGGCAGGCACACGGAGACCTCGGCCACCTCGCGAGTCACCCAGCTGCAGATGCAGATCCACTCGCACTCGCAGTCGCAGATGCAGATGGAGTTCCAAATCAATGGCAATGCCAGCGCTGGCAGACACGTCATTAGCAACAACAATTGCCACAGCAGCATGCAGCACCAGCAGCAAAACAACAACGAGGGGGAGGCAGCCGAGGATCTGGCCAAGATCAAGATGGGCGTCGATGAGACAACCGCTGATATGGCAAATGGAAACGCCAGCCAATCCAAGCAGGTGAGTACAAGTTGGTAGATGGATGGAATTGTGTTCGATCATAAAGATGACACACTCAGTTTAACAAAATATAGTGGAATTGATAGGGGAAACTAGATTGTGATACTAGTATCTCAATACTATTTAGCAATTGAGTTTTATTAAAACAAAAATATGTTACATGGCGTGGAAAAAATACCTATTAAATATTCTCTCTACACAATTTAATTATATTCAATAACTAGCTCCCTTAAAACTCATTTGCTAAATAGTCCCACAGTCTAATAGACTCTATTTCCTTTATTGTCCAGTATTTTGCACAACTCTTTGAGAACCCTCACAATCAGATCCACTTGGCACCGCCGCCATTTGTGGAGCACCAGAAATCGAGTCCGATCGTAAAGTCGGTCCGCTTCGTTCAAATCGGTCCTCTCGACTATTGGACAAGTTCCCACAGTCAGTCAAGTGCCAAGTGCTCAAGTCTAGTGGCCATGTCTGTGCCTTGTGTCAATAAAAGAGTTTTGTTTGCCGTAAATCCAAGGGGCAGGAGTGAGCAAAGGCTGGGATTGGGCTGGGATCGGGTTTGGGTTTGGGTTTGGGCTTGGGAAACTGGGTGCTGGGTGCCGGGCGAGCGTTTTCAATAAATGGAAAACCTCAGCGGATGATTAAGCAGTTGGGTTAATGAAAGCGAATCATGCACCGACTGCTCCTGCCGTTCCAAACGGCAGACTGAAACCGCGATCGATGACTACCGACATGGCATGATGTCGTGGTCCAGGAAAAACGATCGCCGCCGCTCGGGAAATTGAGCGGAGCACGTCAAAAATGGGAAAGTACGAAATTAACTGGGAAACGTGTGATTTATTTCTTCATTGAAGGCAAATGAAAAGAAGCCCAGGCCGACGTGAGGCGGAATAAAACGAAACAATTGAAAGGGACAGCCTGGGTAAAAGCTATGCAGCTCAGATTCAAAATAATAGTTGTAATGTCTTCTTGGCAATGTTTGGCAGTACATAAAATAGCAGGGATTAAAGACATTACTAACAGTGGGACTTCCTTACCATTTACAAACCGTAAATAGACAGCTGTCAATCTCAAGTTAGGTTTTAGGAGACTGACATAGATAAAATTGTAATGCAAATAATAAAAATGGATTTCCTCCCTCCTGCAGATGAACAACAACAGCTTCTACAGCCGCGCGGACATCTGCAACATCAGCGTGTGGCCAGCAGAAACCGTGGCCAGCCACTTGCCACCAAGATCCCCGGCCAAGTCCTCCAAATCCCAGGCCAGCAGCAGCAACGCCACCATGTCCGCATCCATGATGCTCGCTTCGCCAGACAAGGTAAGCCATAAAATATTGATATGATTGGGAGACGGAAGTTGCACTTCCTGCTAATGAGATTGAGACATTAACATGGGAGTGCGGTTTCTAGCATGGTGATTATGATTAATGGTCGGCAGTGTTTTATTAGTTTAATCGAATTAGTTACACGAAGGTATATAGAATCACAGGGTTTATATTTATATTAAGAGTTTTGGAAACCTTTCGTTTTTAAGTTCATGAGAAAAGTCGGCTAACTTTCTCTCCGTGGGATGCTCCTTTTACCAATTAGTGTTCTAGATTATTTATTTTTCGTTTCTTCCTCAATTTCACTACCTCTGGCTCTGCCCGCATCACACATGATCGATTATGAGCTTGATCCATCGATCGTTGGCCTATCAAATCGATCGATGTCGGTGGTCCAATTGCGACGACCCCCTCCCCCCAATTCGAACTAGCTGTTTGCGTGCGTCGTTTCAAATTTCTCTCATCTGATTTTTTGTGGTCACTTTTTGTGCGTGTAAAAGCGGTGGTAAAACATGTGAAGCTGACAACTTGCTGAGCGTAATGGAGTGTAATGCGAGCTGCGCTATTGGGCTTGGGTTTTGTGCGGAGGTGTGTGAAATCCAGCGGAGATAAAGGAGTGCACCATATCTCCACCGGCGGGGTGCTCCCATCATTTGTCGTCGCCTATCAATGTCGCCGTCTCTGAGGTTTCGAAACAGCCAACGTGTTTGGAAGTCAACACTCTCACTTTTCCCTGGTCAGCATGAACATGTTTGAGCATTTTCGCAGTCCCATTTGCATTTTGCAGTTGTCGCACGCAATTTCCATTGCCATTTTCCAGCCGAGGGCAGTCGTTTTCCCCCTTATTTCCCTCGGCCTGCCACGCATGCGCAGTGCGTTGATTTATTGAGAGTGAAATCTTGTGCAGCTTTGATTAATTTTGACAAATTTTGCATTTTCGCAACCCGATCTCGAACCTGAACCTGATCCCGAACCCCCAAAAAAACGAAACCCATTTATCAAGTCGAGGCAACCAAAACTGATTTTAAGATAACGAAAAGCGGCGACGTTGGTCAAAGCAGAAATAAATCGTATATAAAAATCACAGCCTGGTGAATTACATATCTTATCGATTGGACACACATGATTTGTATGGAATCGCAAATTAAAAGTTTGCAAACTGATGGGCAGAGACAGCTCTTCAATAAGTGGTATTTAAAAAGCAAAAAGTGACGTTAGGCCAAACATCAATAAATAAATCACTGGCATACAAATGATAGACAAGTGCATTTATCTTGTTGATAAGCAAATTAAAAGTATTAAACAAGATAGAGACATCCTTAAGCAACTCAATAATATCTCAAAAATTACAAAAAATAAATAAAATGGGAAATTGTGTATATTAAAAAAAAAGCTAATATACACTTACCAATACGATGCAAAAAAAAGGGAAAAACGTTAATCAAACTACCACAATATAGAAAAGCATATAATATAGAAAATTATCTCCCCACCTAACTAACAATAACTGTTATCTTATCGATGTCCACAAATGATTTGTATTCACTCGCAAATTAAAGTGTTCAGCAAAGATACGAATAATAACACAAATTGAGCAAATAATAAAAGTATAATGTGAATAGACAAATGAAGAGAGAAAGGAATAAATAGAAATCATGTGCTGGAGCTTCCTATCTGGATGGTAAAGCCTGCTCCTCCCGCAGATTTTGATTTCAAATCGATTTCGGAGTATTATCTTATCAAGCTGTCGCCAGTCCGCCTCCTCCGCAACTCCCCCTTTTCGCGGGGCTATTATCAAACGCATTTCGAATCGACAGTTTATTTTAATTCGTGGAGCAATCCCCACTATACCACGTCCAAATGTGAGTGTTAGTGTGAGTGTGAGTGCACTCCAGACTGAAGCAGCGGCTGCGGCAGAGCATTAGCCTCAGTGTGATTCGCAACGTTGGAGCCGACGGACGGACGAAAATCGGGGAGCGGACTAACCAAGATAATAGCAAAAAATTAAATAGCCAACCAACAAACAATTGCTTAAAACAACAATAGAAAGCCCAGAGCAACAACAGCTACAAAATGTGTTTATTTTGCTTGCGAAATTTGCATTAAATAAATGGAAAATACAACGAGAAATACAAAAACCAGCATTCGATTTTGAAAGAAATAAGACAAGCAACAACAAACACAATAGTTAAACTCATTAAAACAGTGAATTACAGTGATCTCTGCTACTACTCCTGCTCAGTGGGTGTAAAACTGTGAGTGCAAAAAAATCACTAAAAATACAAATACGCCAAGTATAAAGTAACAAATACAAATAATACAAAAACCCTTTAAAACATTAAATAAAAAAAAAGGAGATCTAGAAAAGTGGAATATTATCGGCCAGTAACCTTTACCGCCAAAGTTCCCCTTAAACTGTAAGCATTTGACTGGCCTTAATTTCCCAAAAAAATTAACGCGATTAGATTTAGGCCAAAACAGAAAAAACCGCGTTGCGTGCGGGTAAAAATATAAATAAAACAAGAAAACCAAATCGACAACTGTCAAGGCCCAGAGGGTGAGAGCGGGACAGAGTCGGCCAGAGAAAGATAGAGCTACTGCGACGACAGTCTAAAAGGCACTGCTGCCGAGGAGTTGAAGTTGAATCCGTATCTGTATCTGAAGCTCGGGCCTTCCAGTTTTGGGCTTAATTGGCAGGCCGGCGTCCGCACTCGCATTAATAATTGCCTTTAATTATCGCAAACGCCCAATCACTTTTTTTCGCGCTCACTGGGCAACTAGCTGTAACTGTAAGTTGGACATTGTAAGTTGCAAACCGTGAACGTAAACGCCGTTTTCACTTGGCATTAGAAAATGGTTTCCGTTTTGGCAGCAGTCGCTTTCAAACTGCCCGCAATCGCGTTCCTCACTCACCGCAGGAAGTTGTTAATTAAATTAAGCCGAAGATTAACCATCCACTGACGGCCAGAGTGAGTTTCGGACTGAGCTGCGATAAAGATCCAGCAAAAAGACGGCAAAAGATACAAAACAGTGCGCGACATCTGTCGAAGCGGCATAAACAAAACCTTCAAATTGTTCAATTGCCCCGAGAAAAACTAAACAAGTCCCAAAAACAAAAAGATTTCGTAATTGCATAGGAATAATTAGCCACGCTTCAGTGATTTGCATTTGTGTCGACAAGAAATTTGGTTAGACAACCGAACTCTGATTTGGTCGCCTTATCGAATGGTCTGCGAAGGTGGGGAGTGTTTTATTTTATAGAAGTAGTTCGGCGAATGATTTCCATTTAAGGAAATGGCAACCTATTGGGTCGGAATCCCACAGTTTGTTTACCAAGAGGGTTCACGCACTTCTGTTCCTTACCACTAAATTGACAGGCAAACAATTCTGCATAACATATGTACATAGTTAAGGCTGTACAAAAATAATTTCTTTTGTCATACGAAACTTTTATATAAAAATTCCCTCATGAGCAACCCACTTACTTGATTGATGAGTTGTGCAAAAAAGTGATGGTGAGGTGTGGAGGCGGCAGTGAAATAAACAGAACTAGATAAGAACAAAAGTGTATAGGCATGTTTATATATGGCAAATTCAAGTCCCCACTTTACTCCCCCACCCCCCCAGCTGCACTCCACTCCAATCCATTCAAATCCACTCGACAGTAATGACGTTGAAGTGCACTGAAAATGGGTGACAAATAGCGATAAGCGCTTGGGAGAATGAGTTCTCAGCGATAAGGGAAAACACTCCCACCACTCCCACCACTTCCACAGCTTTGCGCAGTGTTTCCCTCTTTGCTGATAAGATTTGGACACTCTCGATGCATTTCCTATTTGGTTGCTTTTACAGTGGAACATTAATATAAAAGAAAAACAAACTTAAACCGTTTGTAATATTTTATTTTTATGCAAATCTCATTTAAATAGTTTTTTATATTTAGTTTACAGTTGGTTATAGTTAAATTACACTAAAGATATATAGTTATTTGAGTCGCTTTAGGGAAGTTGGACTGTAGTTAGTCAGCTTTATGACTTCACTGAATCAGCCGCCAGAGGCTTGCAACTCCGATTGGGCACGCTCATTAATTTCCGCTCTCTAAACAAATTTCCCTCGCCCGATTCTCACATTCTCCGCGTTTTCTCTCTCTCTTTTTCTCCAGGGCAAGGTCTCGCATGATTCAATCAAGCAGTTGGTGCTGGAAGCCGAGCATTTGGTGCGCGACGCCCAAGAGGCAGCACTGAAGACGCCAACCAAGCTGAAACATTCCATCATTAAGATCTCGTCGACGGTCAAGAAGCGCGAGGTCATCATGCCGCATCCCATCAAGCAGCGCGTGGAGGTAAGTCCTTTGAACCCTCTGAAATATCTATAACAGCAATGTTCATATGATCAGAAAATATTCCTTGAAATACGATATCGTTGAGAAAGTAACTTTATGAAATGGTACAGGTGAAAAGAATTTTATAAAGATATTTGAACCTTTATACCACACGAATTATAATAACCACTATAAAGGTTTCTACCCATACTTATATAATCCACATTCACGAACTGTTTTTACATTGTTTTCCCAGCTTGCATATTTTTATTGACCAATGTTTTCTGTTAATCACTCCTTTAGGAATGGCTAGAGCACCAGCCCTCGACCCCACAGTTGCTGACCCGCAGCCACACGCACGAACTCCTGCCTGGCTGCAAGCCCGATGACTGCGAGGCATCTGGGGAGGCATCCGAAACGGATTCAGTGCCTCAGGCGGGAGTAGGAGTGGCGGGAGGAGCACCCAACGGTGCCGGATCGGACACCTCGGAGGGATTCACCGATTCCATTGCCACCTGTATGCAAACGAGCACGAATTCCTATGGGAATTCCACGGAGAGAATCGGTGGGTCTGCAGAACCAATTGGCCAGCCAGTCACGCCCTTGGGCTTTGGCAGCAGCAATCAGAGCCTGAATGTCAAGATTGTGAAACGACCGCAGACGCGTCGCAAGTCGGAGAGACCTTGGTCGGTCTCGTGCCTGTCCCAGTTGACCACGGATGCCGCCCAGTTGACCACTGCCCGGATCGTGGAGAACTCCCCGTCAGGATTGGCCAGCCATTCGATCAGCGAGAGTGCCCTGGACTCGCTTTCGCCAGGACCAAGGCCGCGGGCCGCTTCTTCCTCGGGAACGGGAAGTAATGCGGCCAGGAAGGCGGATAGCAAGGGATCCTTGCGGAGGAGGAAGGCCAGGAAGAAGCGCATCTCGGCCGCCTCGGCTGGCAGGAAGTCGGATTCGGGTTCCGAACTGGGTGGAGATCTCACCCAGACGCTGATGAAGTCCTGCGAGTCCATGTCGTCGCAGCAGCTGCAGGAGTTTACCAATGCCTTGCTGAGCATTCAAAAGGGAGCAGTCATCGCCCCTTTGAGTCCCAAGGGAGAGCTTTCTGGAGTAACTCTGCTGGGCGAAGGCGAGGCAGGGGAAACCCCGCTGATGCTGCCCAAGTTCCGGGTGGGATCCTTCACCACGGCGGGCCTACTGGCCAGTGAAACGAGATTGGGAGCTCTCGCAGCTCTGTCGAACTACATGAACGAGGACGAACAGCAAGCAGGTGAGTGGAGGTCCTTGAGGGGATTTCAGGGGGGCTAGGATTACTCGATCTGTGTTTTCTATCTATCTGTTTTTCTCACACAAGCACCCAAGCCGGTTCAGACCAGGCTCAAAGGTATTGCCAATGCACCAATCCCCACTGAAAATGATCCATTCCGTTCCTATAAAAATCTTTATGTCGAAATCCACTGAGTATTTTATTATTACCGTTAAAAACTTAAAATGGATACTTAACTATCCAGTTCCACAATTTCCTTATTTCTTTTTCGTCATCAAACCCTCCGACCCTTCGCAACCCAAACCATAGCTATAAATTAATAATACGTTTTATTCCCCCCCCAGAACTCAGCACCGAGGACCATCACAGCAGCATCTCGGAGACGGCTTGGGACAACTACCAAGAGAAATACAACTCGGAGAACTATTCCGAGGGCTTTGATTCGGATGCGGCCCGACGTATCTTGGAATTCGGCGACGACTATCGGTGAGTACTGGCAAAAATAATAATGATGTAGGCGACCTTTGCGTCCGTGCCAAGAGTTATTTATAACCGCTCAAAATCAAATGCATCCCGCAGCAATTTCATCGACTCGCAGTCAGATTGCTGCAGTTCTCTGTCGGCGGCCAACAATCTGGATTCGTTCTCGCCGCCGCGCATGGATTCGCTGCAAAAGCACGAGCTGAAGACACTCCACATCAACCAGGACACAATTACCAGTAGCGTGGACCACGCCCGCCGCCAGCGCGCCTTAGAACTGCAGTACGAACGCCGTCGCAAGACCCTGGAAGTCAGACGCAAGTCGTGTCAAGGTGGGTAATATAACTCAACATAATCTATGGGATATTACAAGTATTTCTGCACCCCCAGACATGGATGAAATGCCGGTAGCCAACCCCCAGAAGGAGCAGCAGACGCAGCAGTTGCAGGCCCAGCCTTCGCTGTCTGCCTCCGCCACCGCCCTAATGACCACGCCCAAGAGCCAGTCCACCAGCCAGACGCTTGGCCAACGCACAGAATCCGTGGGCCGGAAGCTGGAGTTCGGCGGAATGAGCCACTCGGCTCAGTCCCTGCTGCGCCGCACCTCCGAGAGCGATACCTCGACCAGGAGGCGACGCACAGTGACTGCGGATGAGAGGAGACGCTCCTCGCGCAACCTGGAGAAGTGCATCAAGCTGATTCCAGCCACCACTTCATCGTCGAGTGGGTCGGACTCCGAGGACGGAGAGCAGGAGATGCGATCTCTGCTGCAGCAAAGTCGTGACAGGCTGGACGACACCAGAGCCCTGAAGATCAGATGCCATCTGCTCAGACCAGAGGATTATGTGAGTTTAGCTACGGCTGCTGTGGGAAATCCCTTCTGATTCCATTTAAACCCTAATCCCCCTAACCAGAACGAGATCATCAACACTTGCCGCGACAACATCCGCTGCCTGGAGGCCGTGCTGCGCGGTCCACCCGGCACCGTGCTGTCCAACCACTGCGCTGGCCAGACAAAAGGTGAGTTCCAGCCTCCACCACCTCCACGCAAACCATCATCTTCATCCGTATCAGCCGGTCTCCGCCGGCGCCGGAGGCGGCGTCCAGAGACGGAGCCTGCCCTGGCCGTCACGCCGGCGGGATCGGGGGATTCCCGGCAGCAGATGCAGGTGGCCGAGTGCCAGTGTGCACCCATTACGCGCTTCGTGGCACGGGTGATCGAGTTCGTGCTGGACGTGGGCAACATGCTGGAGCACTTTGCGCTCTACCGCTTCCTGGCGGGAACGCTGAGGTCGCTCTACGAGCTGGTCAACCGGCCCGTGGGCGGACGCCTCGGGAGGTTCTTCGGCGGCCTCCGGGGACTGTTGTAAACATAGCAAACAAACAGATGCCCCAAAGCCGAGCTTTAAGCATGTATTATCCGGATGCCTTTGATCGCTGTACAAATAGATCTTTAAACACACTGTATACGATAGTGCATATGATGTATGATTTGAAGGAAGTTTGTTTTTGCATTTGACAAAACGCATTTCGCATCGAATTTACTTATCCTCAACTTATTCTCTTTTTGTTCAATTTTATTATTATTTTTAATAATTTTATTTTACATTTTCTATCCATTTTTTTCTTGCGCATTTGTTTCTTTATTTTTTTGGCAATAAAATCTACACACCAAAAGCAAAACTAAAATTGTTATAATTCTCAACTTGCGTTTGTATCCGTTTGTCCTGTGAACTATCCCTAATTTAGTTTTTATTTTGGTGTTCTGTCATTCTGTCATCTGTTCTGTTAACTCCACGTAATGCCGCTAATGCTTGTGTGTTTGTCAAATGTATTAACAAATTAATTTAACCATCATCTATTAACTGTCGTTTATATATTGCTTTGAGTTTTGTATTTGAGATCATCGTGTAGTCTAGCACTAATATCGATTCCCTTCCCGAAGCGGTAATGGTGTACACTAGTCTCAGTTGATCTCACAGAGATCTGGAGATAATATAAAGTAATATATTATAAGTTGTTAGTTTTAAGACTTTTATCGACACTTTTAAAATAGTCAGTACTTTAATATTGACACTTCCACATTTAATTAATATCTAATTCACATTTAACTTTTATGAAATCCTAAAAAGGATTTAATGTTGTCAATTTTCAATATTTTCAAGACTTAGGTAGCATTGTGGAGAATTGTTTTTTTTTTATTCCATCTTTACACAGTGTGATTTATCAGTTGGAGCTGTATTTAATAACGTAAGGGTTTTAAATTTAAACATTTAAATTAGCACTTTTGAACCGTATTAACCGGTTGCAAATTTTTCTACATTAATTTTACCTAATGTAAACACAACGGTTTGCGCCTGTGATAAAGTTTTGAGGGCACTCTAATATTTTTATACATGGCATTTAACATTCAAATTTATTTACAATTTTTCAAATTCTTTGAAGTTTTTTCCGTATAGCCATAATTTTGTTTAATTCGTTTTTAGGGATATAGGTATTTTTCCGCGAGCTGCTTAATTCTGACCCCCAACACAAAGTAAAGTATTTTCGGCTGTTGACGTCACACGCCCGCAGCGAACATTTATAAACAAATGTGATGACTTGGTGGAAAATAAATTTATGTGCGAGGGTGGATTTTATAAATTTAAGAAAATGAATTTAAAATGTCTTTGCGAGCAAAACAAGCCCCATACTAAGCTACATTTGTCACAATACTTGCAAAACTATAGCTTCAGTTCTCAAACTGTGGAACTGATGTGGTTTATTTAGAACTCGATAGGTAGCGCTTTGCTTTTAAGTCTGTCGTCATCGCCTCTGTAGCTTTTCTTGTATGGTTTCTGAATTTATTTGTGTTGTAAAATGACGTCGCCTTTTCAAACACAAACTAATGCCATAGTTTTTGTTGCGGTTTGGCCTTTGTTGCCGCTTGAGCTGCCGAATCTAATAAGCGCGCCCTCAGACCAAACCTTCATATGCCTTTGCTTATATAGGTTTGTACATATATAATACGGTGTTTTTCGAGATTGCGTGTGACAAAGCCAAGTTCAAAAGTTCTCTGCCTCAGAGTTTCTCTCTTTGGGATGTTTGCGTGTTACACTCTCTCTGTGTTTTACACGAAAACAAAAATATAAACCAAGTTCAATAATTTGGAAGAATATTTAATATTTTAATTGGCTTTTCGGTTAAAATTTATACAAATATAAAGGTTTCCCTTAGCCTCAGTAAAAATAACATAAAAAAATAAAAATTATGCAAAGTTAATTTTTAAAGATTAACCCTAATGTTATCTGTGTAAGAGCTGATGCTTTGAAAACAAATAAAAACCGGGGGCATAACTTAGAGTAACAGTGCTAGGCGAGCACGTTGCTTTTGCCCTCTGGCTCTCCGTTTCTCGCATTTGCTCCCCCTTTTTCGCAGCTCTCAGCTGTCTCTGCCTTTCGGTTCGCCTCTCCACAGCGCTCAGTTCACTTTCTGCGCGCGTTCCAAGCGGTTGTTCTCTGTTTCCCCCCGTCTATAATTAATTTTTAACGTGCTTCCGCGAAACTGTGTGAAATAATCTAACGAGAATTCCGCATAATTCCGCCAAAAATAAGCTGTGATAAAAACATAACTGAGCTCGCTAATGTTACTTAAGCCTATCAAAAAATCCTACTTAAAGTTTCCATTCATAAAACCCAAAGTCGCGTGCTTTTCTGGCCTTTCGTATAAGAGTTCCTTTTGGTTATAAGAGTTTCGCGAAAATTGCGGTAGTTTTCCCAACTAAAACTTATTTCAATGCAGTATTGCTCAACTCGCAAGAAAAATTCCCACAGTTTGGTGTTGTGTGTGATTGGAAAAACGAAATTGAAATGCTTTAAAACACAAATTGATTACGAAAATTGATTTCAAGTGGCACAGCCAACGAAATTGGGTCACTTGGGGGTTGAAGAGAGCTTTTCCCGCTGAGGGTTGCCGAGGGAAAACTCCAAAACTACAATGGGGAAAGTCAGCGTGGCCGTCCAGACGGAAATATCCGAAATGCTTTCGGCCACTTCTTCCACCAACACATCGCGTTCGTCATCGGAACAAGGTAAACACTTAGCCACCCGAACAAACACACTCCAAGAGCAAGAAATAGCCCGTTATGTGTACTGAGATGATGTGATGGTGGGGTAAACATAATTGGGAAACAGGTGTAAACGATGTAGAGGGGCTCAGGTGAGATGGAGGAGCAGTAGGCACTGATCGCACAATAAGATAAGAGTGAAAACGAGCAGAGCAAATTCAGTCACAAAGGGAAAATAAGAGAAAAGAGTTTGGAGGGAATGGGCGGCTAAATAGGTAGGTGACTAAGCGGGCAATTACTGAAAGGGGGGAGATAATACAGATGCACTTGGTATTTAGAGAAATTTAGGGTACAGTTATTGTACCTACTTAAAACGATGTGTATTTGAACAGTTGGAAATGAAAGGCATACCAATTGGAAAAAAGATTTGTTGCGTGCTGTTATTACCTACTTTAATGAAACGAGATATCCTAAGATAATTGTTCAAAAGGAAATAAGGTGCCTTAAATAGCAGGTGATTAAATAAATGTCATGCAGGTCATGTAGAGGGATATTGAAAGAAAATAGCCAATAATTAGTAAGGTGTTAAGATATATTAAAGAAGACAAAGTAGACTTATTATCACAAACTTTAAGGGATTGCAAATTAAGAAATATTTGTTGGATAGATAAATTATCATGAATACGTACCTTGTTCAAAATTGTATTATTTGCAAATTTATCTTTTTTTCCTAATTAAACCTTCGATACTATAAACCAATTCACATGGAACGGCTGCCACTTTTGGAAACTCCAGTCATAAAGATCGCAAAAGCAGCACAACAATGTTTTGAATCATAAATCCGCCTCTTGAGTGCTTGATGATCTCCTCCAGCCGACAGATCCGCTAGCGATTGCGCTATTCTTACCGCAATTCACATAAACCACAAAAACTCAAGTGGTTCCTCTGGCAGATTCTTCCACTCGATTCTGACAGACCCATTGACCGACTTTGATCTGCAAGCTGCCAAATCGGGTTGCAAGTGGCTACTGGCCACTCCATCAGACACTTGGCTCGCTAATTAGGGTTACCCGGTGCTTACTGTACCATCCGTGCACTTCATGCTTGGCTGCCCCTCGTCGACCCGCTAATTAACGGTAAATGCAGAACAGTGAACACTCCTATAGTGAACGCTTTTATGGTGGCATTCGCCTTTGAAGTTTTCCAAGATTGTTTTCGTTTTGGAGCGCGGAAAGCCGGAACCGGTTGCCTCAATTACCTCATAACTTTTTTCTGTTTTTCTGCTGCCTCTGACCAAGTTCAAGTTCTCAGTTGTCATTCGATATATCATTAATTATGGAGCGCCTGCCCCATTTGTGGTTGACCTTCGCTTGATTAGAGTTAGAAACGAGATCTAAAGAAATCAATTTGGCTGATTGGACCAGCTCGAGTTGCTCTTAACTGCGGTTAGTTTATGTGGTCCAATGCGTTTCTCTGCAGGGCATTGAACTGCTGCAATAAAGTAGTAGCATGCTATTGCCATTTGCATTTCCAATCCCATTTACATTTCTTTAGCGATTTCCGCTTGTAGCTTTCCTGCCCGAATCGGTAGATTTATTACTTCATTCATGCAGAAACCCCGCACCCTACATTTCCATTCACATTTTCAGCATCTCTATGCTAATTTTTGTTCGGTTCTCTGCTGCTCTCTAATCAGCATTTAAAAATATCCAACGACGTGGTTATTTCTATATTTTTTGCTAATTGTCTATAATTGTTGGCCTCTGTTGCCTCATAAACACACACATTTTTTCATAATTATTCAAGATTAATTTAGCAAATATTTTGAGCTTTGCCTTAGGTCAGGCGGTGACCATTCGTGTTTGCCTTTTGTTTAATTTCGGCAGTAGCTTTTGTGCCCCCTGATTACCTCACATGCCTCGATTTGTGCTTTATCTATTAAAATATGTTATTCCATTTAAGTTGGAAGGAACTATCTATCTTTATTTGTTGAGGTAACTAGAACACGCCTTATACCAAGAATAGGGGTTCTTGTTTATGGCCTTCTGTCACGCCATTCCTTTGGGTGTATCCTTGCAAATCAAGGAAGGAATACTTAATTACTTTGAGGTAGACTTGCTTCGCAAGTCTTTGGGTTCGGAGGAAAAAAATTATTTGCTTTATACTCCACAACAGAGAAAATAAGTGACTTTATTATTATGTTTTTAATGATTTTATTTGATAATAGGTCGAATTGTAAATACATTTTACAAATTGTTTATTTAGTTAAGGTAGTAAAACTTATACACCTATTTTAGTTTTTATTGATTTGGAAGTGAGCTCAGTGAGGTATTCCTTATTTTTGTTTAGCTGCACTATTTGCTGTCTGATTGGTTTTCTCTCGCTGATGGCGACACCTCTCAGCACCTCCCACGTAAAAAGTAATGTTCTCACATTGTGGCCAACAACTGCAGCCAACGTCAACGACCTTGGCCAAAAGCCCCCCAACCCTCTTTGCGGTTTTTGCAATTTTCGTCTGCTATTTGCATTTCAGCTATCGTGACGAAATGCATTGCAAATAATACAAAAAGCAGCTGGCAGGCAAATTCGCATGTCAGCAAAGAAGCTTGAAAATGATGAAGCGGTGAAAATAAACACATTTCTGCGCTGAAATTAAAATTAGTTGGGATAGGCTTGTCCTAGAGCTTAATTATATTTATTCCCCACCGCTGAAATATGAACGATTCATGCAGTATGATTAGCGCAAAGAGAAAGTCTGTCGCGGGCCAATAATCTCTCTTACTTAGCCAAGTTAATGGCTAATCAATTTTATGTGCAATTGTTTGCACCTTTTGCCGTTGTCGTGGAGTTATCTAGCGAAGATTATTCAGTATCTGCCGGAAAGCAGGTGGAGTCCGACCCCCAACTCCAGCTCCAATCAAAATCCGATCCAAAGTAATCTGCAAAAAGCGGCATCAACTCTAAACTCGAACTTGCAACGAGTTTGATGTGCCAACTGATTCCCAACCAGATTTTGTAACGCACATGACAAAACACAACCCAAGTGCGTATGATTATTCTGCACTAAGGAAAAAAGTATTTCAATTTAATTCCAGCTAAAAAAACAGCTCATGTTGCGTTTGAAATAGCCTTTAAAAGTCTACCAATACCATGTTTCAGAAGTCCTAAAGATTTTAAGAAACCGTGAAAAAAGTTTATTTTAAGACTCCTTTATTCATTCAGATTTTTTTTTCAGTACACTATCTTTTGTGTTAAATCTATTAAAATACATTAAAAGGTACATTTCATATCTGTTGTAGGATTTTTAGGCAGTGTAAGCATTAGTCAGTTACGCTAAGCGCTAACACCCATCTGTAACCCTTTACAAAACTCCCCCTTTTCTCTCTGCTGCTGCGATCGCTTTGGTTGCGCTCGACTTGCTCTTGTGGGTTGGACGGTCCCCATCCTCCGCCCACTGGATGGAACCCAGGGGGATCCAAGTCGAGCTTAGAGCTCCGTTGCAGCTGCACTGAAGTTCACTCAACCAGTTTCGGTTTGGCTGCCAACAAGTTCGGATCGGTTGGGTTTATTTTTTCTACACCGCGAGTGCGTTTTATCCTCCACTGCTTTTTATCACAGCTGGGATCGCAAAAATCCGTTTTTGGCCAGACCCAAGGTGAAAGCAATTTTGGCCAAACTTACATTACGCATTGCGTTTCAATTACCCAACCGGGCCGCACGCACTTGTCGCAGATTGTTCGATTTTGCCTTTATAATTGCATAAGAGTGACACTTTATTTGGGGTAAGTTGATTGTTTAGGCTGCTCGATTCTCGATTTTGTTTGTGATAGTGATGATTTCAGCAAATATTATGTGTGTTCAAAGCTCTGAAACGATCAAAGAAAATTAATGATTTTGCTTAAAAGGTACCTCAAAGTCGACTAAAGGTCGACAATATTTTTATACCCTTGCAGAGGGTATTATAATTTTGGTCAAAAGGGCAACGAGACGACCCTATAAAGTAATATATTCTTGACAGGACACCTCCTGAGTGATTCATGTCCGTCCGTCTGTCCGTCGTCGCGTCCGCTGTCGCCGTCTGTCTGTTCTACGCGAACTAGTCTTCAGTTTTAAAGATATCGAATTGAAACTTTGCACACACCCTTCTTCTTCCCATATATAACAAATTCCTATACCCATATAACTGATTGATCGATAGGCCATATTTTTTTTAAGTTAGGAAGTTGGACTCTCTATGGGTATTATATTTGGCCAATCAATCCGACGTACCAAATTTCATAAGGACGGCCCTATATCCTATGTTATAATGATAAACGGAAATGCCATAACTTTGTGTTTGTAGAGTTAGGAAGCTGGGATTTTCTATGGGTTTATATTTGGCCAATCAATCGACCTACCAAATGTCATAAGGATCGGCCGACTATACCTATAGCCGCCATATAACTGATTGATCGAAAATGCCATAACTTTGGTGTTTGTAAAGTTAGGAAGTTGGGATTTTTATGAGTATTAAGAATGCATCATATGAATAATTTTTAGAATATAATGTACAAATATTTTGAAAATATATTTTTCTTTCCCCCCGAAGTTAGCTTTCCTTTCTTGTTATTTTGTATATTCGCTGCCAGCTGTTCTTTTGTTCGCTTTAGGGCTGGCATCGCGCTTTGTTCTGGTTCTGATTCTGGTTCCAGTCCGCCCAACGTTCGATGCAGAATCAATCCCACAAAACGAGCATTCTACATAGTCAGCGGAAATAGCAGTTGAAGGGGGAAAACTAAAAATGCAGTGCAAACCGTTCACGATTAACAATTTCAATTAGAAATCTTTTGTGTGCTCTGGCTCCCACAACCGCAAAGCGATTGCAAAGTTTTAACTGCTGCGGCTACGGCTGTTTTTCTTTTCCTTTTTATATTTGTTGACTTTGATTTTCCTTTTGCCGGCTCAGAGTTTCACTTTCGGCTGCAATTTTCAGCGCTTAGAGAAAGGTATTCATTACCAAGGGCTCTCGCACCAAAGCGGGAAAGGAAGTGTACTATAAATGGAAATGAGATTGCCAGCGCCCAATTAAATTGCCTTTCTCTCGTGCACCATTTAACTCTGTTAACTCGATTCACCATCCTCCTGCACCTAACCGACCACATCCTCACGGTTCCCGCTTCTAATCTTTTCCCGCAGATCTGCTCGCCGCCTGGGAGGACCTGCTCGGCTGGAGCGAGAATGCCTCGTCTGCCCGCAAGTTGCAGCAGGAGATGAGCGTCCTCAAGAATTCACTGCAGCGACTGGGAGACAAGCCCACTCCGGAACTCCTCGACACGGAGCCGGCCATTCAAATAGCCGTGGAGGCTCTTAAGGTGAGTGCATCATTGCCACGAACTCTTTTCCAATTACTAAAACTTTTTCTTTAGCTGGAACAGACGCAACTTGCCAGCTACAGGACCAACATGCTGCGACTCAACGCCTCCGTTCACAGCTGGCTCACCAGGCAGGAGAGGCGTCTGCAGAACGCCTTGGAGGAGCAGGAGCAGGATCAGCAACAGGAGTCCGAACAAATCAAGCAGGAGAACTCGTTGGAGGAGAAGGCTGCTGGTGTTAGAAAGGAGCTGGCGTCCAGCGGAGCAGTGGCCATTACTGTCACCGACAGCAATGGCAACCAGGTGGAAGCCCTGGCCACTGGAGAAGCCTCCACCTCCACGGTGGCCTGGGATGTCCACTCGCTGATGTCCGCGGAGCAGGAGTTCCACAAGCATCTTAAGAACGAAGTGAGCGATATGTACAGCGCATGGGATGAGGCAGATGCCAGGTGAGTGAGCCCCCGAAATCTCACACAGGATCTCTTTTAACAGAAGGTATTTTCATCCACAGAATCAACACGCAGCTGGAGATGCTCACCAACTCGCTGATTGCCTGGCGACAGTTGGAGTCCGGTCTGAGTGAATTCCACTTGGCTTTGGGCCAGGATAGGGGCACCCTGAAGGGTCTGGAGGGAGCGCTGGATAAGGGACAAGCTACGCCCGTGGAGCTCGCCCAGAATGTCAAACTGGTGGCCAAACTGCTATCCGAAAAGGTTAATGTGAGCCAGGAACAACTGCTTGCCGTACAACAGCACCTCGACCCCAACCAAATCTACCACATCGCCAAGTTTACGGCCTCGAATGGTTCGCTGTCGGACTCTGGCATTTCCGATGGAGGTGCCACTTCCGATGGTGGCCTATCCGAGAGGGAGCGACGATTGGGCGTCCTTCGCCGCCTGGCCAAGCAGTTGGAACTGGCTCTGGCACCGGGAAGCGAGGCCATGCGTTCGATTGCCGCCCGAATGGAGAGTGCCGAGGCCGAGTTGAAGCACCTGCAGAACACCTGTAGGGACTTGATTGTGCGCACGGCAGCCAGCCACCAGCAGAAGCAGCAGCTACAGAACCAGCACGTTCCATCCAAGGCCAATGGCCAAGTGAAGAAGCAGGCTACCAAGGGCAACGGCCAACCGCAGTCGCCAGGTAAACGCGGCAAAGCAGCACGGAAAACTCGTCAGGCCAAGAACGCTGGAGAGGATCAGCAGGAGGACGGGCAGATGCTCAGTGCGGAGCAGCAGAAGATGGAGCTGAAGCATGTTAAGATCCTTTCCAGTGGCGATGGTGGCGACGACCCCTCTGACGATCCCTCGCTGCTGTTCAACTTGGAAAGCTCCGAGGAAGATGCCGAGGAAGCGGATCTCGCACAGGGCAACAAACGCGGATGGGCGTGGCGCATCGCCAGGGCGGCTGTGCCCATGCAAGTGGCCCTGTTCACCATCTTCTGCGCCGCCTGTCTGATGCAGCCCAACTGCTGCGACAACCTGAACAACTTGTCCATGAGCTTCACGCCCCAGTTGCGTTATATCCGCGGACCACCTCCAATCTGAGGACCGAAAGCGACTACTTCAGCAGGCCGCTAATCGTTGTAGGTTACCGTTACGTTATGTTAAGGCATTTAACAGCTGTAACTAGAGTTAACCAGCGCAACCCCGCCAATAGGCAGAGTCACTAAGAGCTCGCTTTTGGCGCGCGTCTCCCGCGCTCAAGGTTTTATAAGGAAAAACAGAGCGCTCTCCTCCGAAATTTGCAACTCGTCGAGGCAGCCCAATTTTATACGTCTAATTTAGGTAGCGAGCGCAAAAGGAACGCAATTTATAGTAAGGACATATTTGTTATTTCGGTTAATTTCCTACGAGTTTAGGTTGCAGTTCGATTGAACAAAGAGGATGTACTTAGGCGATGATGCAGACGATGCTTAAGCCACTTAAATACTGCCGCATTCAGGAGCAAATGGGAGGAGCCCGCCCCCAAATCCCTACCCAGTAAATATTTATACAAACAGAATGTTGTTTTGGTATACTTTTTTGTTTGAAAAACACTAAAGTGCCTACAAATGCGAACTGTGAACGAGGAACTATCAGAAGATGACAAAGGATCCGACGGGAGGTCCAAATGAGAGTATCAATCCAAGGCAACGAAGCAAACAGAAGCTAAAAGCCAACACCACTAGAAGAGCTAGCAAATCAGCCGGCTAAAACAGCGATTGAGAATCAGAGTTTATATTTTTATATGCAACGCAACTATACACAATCAGTTCGAAGACAAGGACTCTTCAGCCCCACACACATCGTACGTTTTATGTCTATTATATTAATAGGATAAACTTTAAACTTATTTTGCAAGCCGAAAAATTCAAACAAAAAAAAAAGAAACTAGAAATTATCTCTTAGGTTTGTGTTTGGAATTTCTAGACATAATTTATAATTTACTCACTCCTGGCAGATGATCATTGTAATCTACTTATAAGATTTAAATACTTTGTGCGTTTTCAAAACTTTCACTTGGAATTTAAATGAACAAAACAGAAAATCTTCATTTATACAAAAACAAAAACATTAAAGAAAAAGTATTAAAAAATAACATTTTGTAGTTTTGTTATACATTTTTACTCTTTATTCTGTAGTATACTTTTGGGCGGCCGAGAAATGTGCTTTTTGTTGCGTGCATTTGGGGGCTGCACAGTTTGGGAAGCACTGGATGTTGTTGTAATTGTTTTTGTTGTTGTTGTAATTGTTTTTGTTGTAATTGTTTTTGTTGTTGTTGTAATTTGTTGTTGTTGTAATTTGTTGTTGTTGTAATTTGTTGTTGTTGTAATTTGTTGTTGTTGTAATTTGTTGTTGTTGTAATTTGTTGTTGTTGTAATTTGTTGTTGTTGTAATTTGTTGTTGTTGTAATTTGTTGTTGTAATTTGTTGTTGTTGTAATTTGTTGTTGTTGTAATTTGTTGTTGTTGTAATTTGTTGTTGTTGTAATTTGTTGTTGTTGTAATTTGTTGTTGTTGTAATTTGTTGTTGTTGTAATTTGTTGTTGTAATTTTTTGTTGTTGTAATTGTTTTTGTTGTTGTTGTAATTGTTTTTGTTGTTGCTGTAATTGTTTTTCTGCAGCCCCCAAAAGTATGCTATGAAATAATTTAAAGTGCTGCGCAAAAGTATGCTACAAATATTTAAATCTTTCAGCTCTAAATTAACAGCGCGGCCTAGTTATTCGTGCTAGTTTCCCCCCAAATAAAACAATCAAAAAAAGTTTAAACATAATATTACATTTTTACAAGCCCAATCGAAAATTAAAAAATTAAAAATTAGATATGGAAGTGATGAATACCACACACGTGACTAAGTGTTCCGATTTGGATAGTCCGCAGCCCAATTTTGAGAGGATCCAGCTGAAGCTCAACCTACAAGAAAATAAAAATATAAAGTTTTGTTAAAATCTAATGCTTATTAAGTGTAGATTAAGCTATCCATTTCTTGTTTTTTATTTTTGTATTCCATCAAATCAAAATCATTGCTTTCTACTTCAGTTTGCTTCAAATATGTGTAGAAAAACAATACTTCAAAGTTATTTTTTCTAAATTTGTCCTTACACTAGTTCATTAAAATGAACTAACCTCGTCCAAACAAAAGCACAATAAAATCGAGTGTTAATAAAATATGCTGTAAGAATCAGCGAAAAACGGGGGCAAAAAGGGGGGGCTGAGGGTCCAGCTGGAGTCAACCGGGAAACTTTTGAAGAATCAACTACTGCACGCCTTTAATTCTTCACCATGGCTTTGGCGGACGAGAGCAACTACACCTATGTCAAACAGGTGGCCCTTGACTGGCGGGAACTGGTGCGTGAGAAGCGCCAGACCATGACCTTGTCTCCCACAATAAGTATGCTGGCAGAAGAGTCCCAACTGCGGATGGCGGAACCAAAGTCCCGGACACAGTCGATGATCCCGGCCGAGAGGAGGGACTCCAGCTTTTACCGACACCGTTTCTCGCAGCAGCCTAAGGAGCCTATTGAGATCGAACACCGGGAAGGATCGATGGAGGCGAGCCGCATTCGGGTCAATGATGACGTTCAACTGTACATCTACCAGCCGATCCGGGTCACCGACTCTGTTCGGGCCTCGGTCCATGCCATGTCCCCCAGTGACATCAGCATGACTTCCACCAAACTGGAGGACCCCATTAATTTGGCAAATCCAGTTCCACTACCAGAGCCCAAGTCGCCATAGTCAGATTCTCTGTTTCTGTTAACGATGATAAAAATATTAGCAACCGTAATAAAAAAAGAGAGCTTTTCTCGTGTCCCCACCCCCACAAAAAGTTGTTATAAGTAAATAAATTCCGTACAATTACCCTACGACCTAAGTTAATCTACATACCTGTAAGGTTACTAATAAATTAAGCTAATCTGTATACCATAAGATGATCCTAAGTATTTTTAAATAATTGGCTTTATATTTAACAAACTTAATGGAACATAATAAAGATTTAAACACCAAAAAAAAAGGTTGTTTTTATGGGTGGTTGCCGTTTTTCGAAGTTAACCCATGTTGATGGTGACACATTCCACATGCGATCCACTCGCGTGCGATGGTATTTCTTTTTGTAGATCGCATGTGGATCGTAACTAAAAAATACGCTTATGATTCACATATGATCCACATAAAATCCACATGCGTTCCACGCCACTTAAAAATATTTGAGCGTGAGGATCGCATGTGGAATGTGTCACCATCCACACCACATAAAAATTATTTGACCGTGTGGATCGCATGTGGATTGTATTAATATTTTTTAGTTCCACAAGCGATTCACGCCACATAAAAATATTTGAGCATTCTAATATGTGTCAATTTTTTCCCATGGTTTTGATCAAAAAACCGAAATAAAAGTTGATTTTTCCGGATCCTCCGGATTTTGCAGTTTTTGATAAGGGGTTAGTTCATCATTTTTGGCGAAAAATCGGCCAAAATGAAATTTTTTAGCTGTGAATGCCAATCGACTGGAAATTTTATAACGAATTCAACGAGATATCGCATTCTAATATGTGACAATTTTTTCCCATGGTTTTGATCAAAAAACCAAAAAAAAAGTTGATTTTTCCGGATCCTCCGGATTTTGCAATTTTTGATAAGGGGTTAGTTCATAATTTTTGGCGAAAAATCGGCCAAAATGAAATTTTTTAGCTGTGAATGCCAATCGACTGGAAATTTTATAACGAATTCAACGAGATATGGCATTCTAATATGTGACAATTTTTTCCCATGGTTTTGATCAAAAAACCGAAATAAAAGTTGATTTTGCCGGATCCTCCGGAAAGGAGTGACTGTTATTTAAAAATTGTATTTAACACTGTGGAAATTATTATATAAGGGCGCAGAATTAAAATTGTGAAACGACAGTCTAATCGGAAACACGCTACTTATGAATGACGCTATTTGTCTTGTAATCGGTAATATTTCCAAAATATTTGCTTTGTAATAATCTGCGCAATCATTTAAAGTCTTCACCTCGAGTTCTTGAGCAGCTTTTCGTAAAAAAAATGCATTTATATCCACGATTTGGCTAGTTCCGTCTCATCTCGATATCCTGTTTGTCTTTCATCGAACATCCTCAATCTGTGAGACGTCCGTGGACGTTGATGGATTTGCGCCAAATGAAACACACTGCACAGTTGACCTGAACATGGGAACACCGACACGACCATGTAAACCCCAGTAAGGCACAAAGCTGAGACCCACGCCAGGTCTTTTTCAAAATGCTTCGCTTATGTAAAGTGCTCAACCAATGAGGATGCAGTCAAGTACATAATCCCAATTTCCCCTCCTTTTAAGACGCGGTTTTCTCTGTCTCACTCACAGAAAACCGCATCTATTCATCCCTTTCATGCCACAATAACTTGTTTTGCTCTCTCTGTCTACTGTTAAGTTGATCCTAGACACAAACCACTGTTAGGCAACTGAGCTCAAAATCTAGAGTTTGTACGTAATAACGAAAAGTAAAGGCAATCAATAGGAATTATTTTTAAAGCAAAAGGTTGTATATTAAGTCTAGACGGAAGGCTTGGATATTTTCCTTAATTTATGAAATGTTAAATTGGATGTAAAATTGATAAGAACTAAATGTTGATAAACTGTTGGAATTTAAATTAATTTACAAGTACATACATATGATTTCCTAAAAATCGGTATGAACTGATTTTAATATCGTTTAAGGCGAAATAACATAATGAAAGTGTTGCGTTAAAAAAATACGGCAGAACATTTTTGTTGTGACCCTTCAAAAAATCTATGGATCCCCAAATCTTTTTCTATGCCACCGCCACATAATCTTTATCCAAGGACGATCCTCAACCACCGCAAAATGATCAAAACCGAACCGTGTCAAGTGCGAGAACAATGAAAACATAATTTTGTTTACGCCTCGAGGGTAAATCCCTCAGATTGGATGGAAAGTCACCACCATCAGAATCACAACAAAAAGCACCAGAACAGAGGGCTCAACAATTATAATAATATGCTTACTTACCAGCAAGGCAAAAAGGGGCGTGGCCGGGGTCCTCGACATCGCAGCACGCTCCTCGATTCGCGTGCCACAGCGGAAGCGACCTGAAAATTGAATTTGCATAATTTTTAGTCTGTTGAAAAATAAGAGGCTGATGATGGTTGAATAGATTACAGCTAAGTGAGGGAATAGTGATGAAAGTACTCCCTTATGAGGGAATGTGGTAATTAGTTGTCTATCTTAGTTGCACAGCTTAATTACACAACAAAAAGTAATATAGATTGATTGCTTAAGTTATCAGCTAAACAAATCTTGAATCAAAAAACTCGTGAAAACAATGTCGAAAAATAAAATTTAATTAATAGGCAGCTATGTTTTTCTTTGTTTAATACATTTTTAATATACTGATTTCCAAGGGTTTTGAAAGTCTCTTTTTAGCTAACCAATTCATTTAAGATTCTTCTTGATTTGGATTATGGAAATGAGTTGGCCTGGCTGATTGCAGATTGTCAATAAGCTACGCAGTAAGTTGACTGAGGGCAGGACGGGTCGACTTATCCGCCTCAACCCTTAAGCCATTCATTAAACTTTGTGATTAAACTGACCACAGCACGAGGGGTGGAAAGGAGGAGGTTAAAGCCCTCACACACATGTGTATATAGAACTGCCCATTCCTCCCCAGGACCTGCAGCAGTTTAGTGAAGTGAAGTGAGTAAATCGACCGACGGTGACTGCTGACAGGCTCATTAAATGCCGCATTCAGTTGTCCTTCAACTCCAACCTCCTCCCATTTTACTCCTGGCCACGGGCCAAAGTCAACACATCAAATTGAATGCCCTCCAAAACCCCACAGTTCACCCAATCGAGCTAATTTTCCAAGCTCAACCTTTAAATTCGCATTTTCCTAGAGGAAAAGCGAAAAAAACACACAATAAATACAGACAGCAGAAACCACATAAATAATATAAGGAAAATTGTAGAAAATTGCCGTAAGAATTTATGTTGACATTATCTCGAGAGACATTTTTCTATCTGGCTCTGCCTTTTTTGCTTTTCTGGATGATTAATTACCGCAAAAGAAAAATATTTGAATATGAAAAACGATGCTTGCGATAAGCGGGGCGGGAAACTTTTCCTTATTGCTCCCCAGTCGCCGATAAACAGGAAGCACTTTTAATGAACTGGGCATTTCATCATCTTCCTGAGGAAAATAAGATTTAAGCAAGGAAAAACAGTATAGTTGAGTGCCTTGACTGTAAGATAAGTGTTACTCAGCTGAACCAGGTGATGCCTAAGATAAATCCACCTTTAAAGGGTGTTTATCAATTTGAATTTTTAATTCTGATTAAAAGCTTAGGGTTTAAAACTCGTTTAATAAGTTTTTTGTATATTTCATTAGCTTCCTTTTTTCTGCTCATGGACTTTTTCTTTCCATTCGCTTTAAAAGGAATGTTTAATTTTATTTCCAAGAGCTTCGTAAATGGCATAAACCCTTAGAAGTGCCTTCCTCCACTGGAGGATTCACCTTCTCCTGGGCGCTGTCAATAAAATTCGATTTCTCTTCGGCATCCTGACCCGAAGGAGAGGCCAAGGAAAAGGTCGGCCATTAAATGTAACTGCGCTGTCATTTGCATAATTTTCTATTCATTACATAATTCTGTCAATTTCCAATACATTATAATTTGTTAGAGAACACAGGGGGAACACCGGAAAAATATGCAAAACAGCAGCCCAAGAAAAAATGGAACAAATTATATAGAGGGTATTTCTCGTCGCTCCCTCTCTTTATTGTCGTTCCTCTTATTTGTAATTTGTTTTCGGCTTAAAAAGATTATTTTATGGTGAAAACAACCCGAGGCCAAGTTGTTCAATTTTTTATGCGCAATATGCTGGAATCGAAAGAACGAACACAGGTCATCATTGGGGTAGAGAAATTAACACATTCGGCAGAGGAGATTCCCGAGATACGGTGAAAATATGGCCAAGGATCCGGAACAGCCAGCAGCCAGAGCGTAACCTTGGCGGGGATAAAAGGAAACCGCAAACTTATCTAATCCTCAGCCGGAACCAACACGAAAATCACGTAGCCATTATAAATGCAAATCAAGTGTCAATATTGCACATTTGAATATTTTCGCCACAAGGATTTTCATTTGCCAAGCGAATGCGAATTTTCCGAGATTTCTTTTTCCTTCGTTTTGCAAATCAGCAAAGCAAACATCTGAGACAAAGAGCGGAAGGCCCGGTGCGAAATCAATTGGAATCCCAAATGTCAACTGAGTGAATTCATCGGGAGTTTCCAGGACATTTGCCAAACATCTGGCCAGGCATACTGATGAGGAGCGAAGATAATGATAATGATGGGTGGCCAAATGAAGGGCTCTTAGTTTGTATGATTTGGTTTATAATAACCCATGGATTGGGGGTACGATTGAGTATTCCCTTCAATAGTTGATTGATTTTCTTATTAACAATTGTTTCAAATAGTTTTAGTTTGGAGAAGTAACTAGAATTACTGCGGCTCATACCGAATAAAAAATATAATACATTAATTATTATCTAATATCTCACTTTTGTATATACAATACTTTTTAAGTATATAGTTATCTTGCACATCATTTGTTATTACTTCGGAATAATTCTTTAAACCATGGCTCTCCCTTCAGTCATATCCTTTTTTTATATTTTTTCAACTCCTTCCTAGGTTGCCGAGCATGGTAATCTTACGTGCCAAGTGGCTGTCAACTTTTGCTGCCTGATGGGCACCTCTCCTCTCCACCCACTTTATTCCCGAGAAAACCTGCCATCCTGCTAATTAGCATTTTAAGCTGCGGCAAACTTCCAAGTACCCAA